CTGTAGATTCTTTCAAGACTACTTGTATTTTAGTCCTTACCTTAAAGGGTAGAAACATGTTTCTGTAGATTCTTTCAAGACTACTTGTATTTTAGTCCTTACCTTAAAGGGTAGAAACATGTTTCTGTAGATTCTTTCAAGACTACTTGTATTTTAGTTCTTACCTTAAAGGGTAGAAACATGTTTCTGTAGATTGCTTCAAGTTCCTCGGTAAACAGTACAGGATGCATTTTGTAAATAATGTACAAAACGTGGCCCATATTTAGCAGCATGAATATAAAATTCCACAGGAATATATCAGGAGCACATAAAGTATTCCAAGACCATGTGGAAAACATGAGAAAGCCTGAAATAAGCAGAAAAAAAATATGTTTCTTTAGCAATAAAACAATAACTGAAGCACATGAAACCAACATCAGGTCTTATTAATATTAATATGTGGAATATTAACGTTCAAATATATATTTGAAACTTATAATCATCAACTGTCATATCTTTTCAGTTGATATAATGCTCGTATTGAAATCAGAATGACGATAAAAATAATTTCTAAATTACACTGTCTATCTTTAATTGGTTGGTTGTCGTCTATACTTCATAATTTCAACATCTATGTTAGACATATCATTTAAGAATTGCTGCATTTTATATATTATCATTACTTTTATTCTAGGTTGCCTCTAAATTTATCTATAAAAACAGCAGTTAAACGTAAAAAAGGATAAAAATTCAAATGAATTATCGACTACATTAGATTCAACTGGAATAACAAACAGCAAAAAAAATAAAATAAAACAAATACAAGAACTGTACAAATATTGAAATTAACAATAAATACAATCATGTTCAAACAATCAGAATGATTTAGTAAGATATTTCTGCGGAAAGAATGTTTTCTATTGAGAGAAAGAAACACGAACGACGTCCTTTTCTCGAAGTTTTATTCACCAGTTGAAAGGTTTATTAATTATTGCACCTTTGAATATCAGTTTTATATGCTTGCTTGAAGTTAAGCACAAAGCTACCCAATGGGCTACCTGTGCTCTGCTCACCACGGGCATAGAAATCTGGTTTCTAGCGTTGTAATTCAGCAGACATATCGCTGTGCCACTGGGGTGGGGATTCAGTTTTATATCTTCACACTTGCAAATACTTCTGTTACTACCAATTGTATAAAATGAGTCTCTGGGAAGACAAACCTACGATATAAGAAGCCAAAATCAAAAGTCATTTGAATGCAAATTCAGTTTTACAGCACATGAATAAGATGATGCAAAGCGAGTAATGTCAGATTGCTTTATTTTGCTGAGATATCGCCTACTGTTGAACTAAACTGGAATCTTGGATTGTTTTAATGAGCCTTCTTGGGTGGAGATATCACCTACTGTTGAACTAAACTGGAATCTTGGATTGTTTTAATGAGCCTTCTTGGGTGGAGATATCATCCACTGTTGAGGTAGACTAGAATCTTCGATTGTTTAAATGAGCCATCTCGGGTGGATATATCACCTACTGTTGAACTACACTAGAATATTGGATTGTTTTAATGAGGCTTCTCGGGTGAAGATATCATTCACTGTTGAGCTAGACTAGAATCTTGGATTGTTTTAATGAGACTTCTCGGGTGGATATATCATTCACTGTTGAGGTAGACTAGAATCTTCGATTGTTTAAATGAGCCATCTCGGGTGGATATATCAACTACTGTTGAACTACACTAGAATATTGGATTGTTTTAATGAGGCTTCTCGGGTGAAGATATCATTCACTGTTGAGCTAGACTAGAATC